AGCCTTATGGAGGTCCTAAACATGACTTGTTGGGGGCCATCCATCTTTCTAGCCAGTGTATAACTACGCAATTGTGCAATGCACATGATGGATGCTTGTTTGGGGTTCTAATCAGTTAAGTTTTAATTTACATATTTACTTCCTCAGCATAATTGCAGTCTCCAGACGCAGTACTTCTTGCTTACTCAGCTAACTCTAAGCTTAGTTAAGAGGTAACCTTGCTGCTAAGTTTTGTGAAACTGAATCTTAGTCAGAAAACCTTTGAACCTGTTAAATGTACAACACTGACAAAGTCCTAGGCAGCCAAAAACATTAGATGTAAAAGCTGTTTATCTGGGCAGCAAGTGTATTTTGTTCAATGTTAATGTAGATGTGAATGTACAACACATTTCATCACATTAATACAAAACATATTGATTTTATGTACAATATTTTTGTTTAGCCCTTACCAAACCTCTTCTTGTGGCACTCCTGTAATATTTTTAGTTTGTATTCAATGCCTGGTTTATCTAATCCATCCTTCAATAAATCAGGGGTGAATTTAACAACTTTTTGCGACAGTTGAGGGCACTGAGGAGAAATCCAGAACCAGATGTGTGCTCTTCAAACTAAAAGAAAATTACAAATACTAAATAAGAATTTCCTGTTACTTTTTACTGCATTGTTTGTTTGCATTTATTAGTTTTAGAAGCATAAACACTCATTGTCCAGATTGATGGTTTAACAACTATTTGCTTTGTATACAACTGTATATTTCAATGTATATATACAACAGAAACAAGCATTTCAAACATAATCTGTCTTTGAATGCCTTTGACCTCAATGCAGTTGAAGTCTTGGAAGCACTGGAAACTCTATCGGGGTCCACAAAAACAAAGGTTCCCTTGTTTCTAAATCATATTCACAATTTGTGTTTGTTGTCCTTTCTTAATGTTGCTAATTCAGAAAAAAAATGCATTCTTCGCATACACATTCACTTTATCCACATATAATGGCTAAATATTATACCTGATAAAATGAAGGTTCAGCATACAGGCCTTGACTATCATTATCACCATGCAGTGCTGATGACATGGTTACACTAACTGCGGAGCAATCAGCATTGCCTGCGGCAAAGGAGAGATGTTTTCCTTTCCATTGTTTGGAATAAAATAGCTGGGGGAAAACACACAAACAGACAAACACACACATACACAAAAAGTTGGGAAAGGAGCATGTTTACCACTGTGTTACATCACCTTTCATTTAATCACTGCTTACTAATCGTTTGGGAACTGAGGACACCATTTGTTGTAGTTGTGAAAGTAGAATTTCTTCCCCTTTCTTGCTTGATATAACACGTCAACAGTCCCAAGTCTCTGGTGTTGTATAATGCGCTATATGTTTGCAGTGGGAGACAGGTCTGGACTGCAGGCAGGGCAGTCTAGCACCTGCACTCTCTTACTACGAAGCCACACGGTTGTAACGTGCAGAATGTGGCTTAGCATTGTCTTGTTGAAACAAACAGGGACATCTCTGCAAGACATGTCTTCTAGATGACAGCATATGATGCTCCAAAATGAGTTTGTACCCCTCAGCATTAATGCTTCACAGATGAGCAAGTCACAGATGAGCAAGTCACCCACACCACTGGCATTAACGCAACCCCCATACCATGACAGACGATGGCTTTTGAACTTTACGGTGCTAACAACTGGGGTGGTCCTTTTCATCTTTGGCCCAGAGAACATCCATTATTTCTAAAAACAATTTAAAAGGTGGACTCGGCGGGTCACAGCACACGTTTCCACTTTGCATCAATCTCTGATGAGCTTTAGCCCAGAGAAGTCGGCAGCATTTCTGGATATTGTTGATATATGGCTTCCACTTTGTGCAGAAGAGTCTTAACTTGCATTTGCAGATGCAGCGACAAACTTTTTTACACTGACAATGGGTAATATATTTTTGAGCCTATGTGGCTGTATTTTCCAGAAGCATGTTGCTTTTTAATGCAATGCTGTCTGAGGGATCGAAGGTTACTGGCATTCAATATTGGTTCTCGGCTTTGCACTTCATGCACATTTTTATAAAGTTATGGACTGTAGATGGTGAAATCCCAAAATTCTTTACAATCATGCATTGAGAAACATTGTTCTCAAACTGCTGGACTATTTGCAGTTTTTCATAAACTGGCGAATGAGCCTCATGTGACGGCCTTTTTTATACTCAAACATGATGGCATCATCTCTTACCTATTCACCTGTTTACCTGTGGAAAGTTGCAAAACATTTTTGATCCATCATTTCCGGTCTTACATTGCTGACCCAATGTTGTTGAAGTGTTGCAAGCGTCTAAGTTTGAATTCTTTCCAAAAATCAGTAAAGTTAATAAGGTATAATATTCTATATCTCTTCTTTGTGCTGTTTTCAATTAAACACTTGTGAAAGACAGTTTACAAATCACTTCTTTCTGTTTTTATTTGCATTTTACCAGCTGTCCTAACTTTTGTGGAGTTTGTGTAAGGAAAAGAAAGGCCCACTCAAACAAAAAGAATTGAAAGTTGATGCAAATATTGTGGTATTGCTGTAAAGAATCATCATGTGAAAAGTGACCTAATTACGTTGCATTTCCTCATCCACTTCCTCAGATCATTTGCAAATTCATGTACGCAACATGGCCTTTAATGGACTGTAGTGACCTATTTTACAACAATTTGAATGGATCACCTGAAATAAGCTTCAAAAAGACAAAACCATGCTGGACTATAAGAAGCAAGTTTCAATATGTTAAATACATACAGCATATGACAATGCAAAGAAATTTACACAGCGCAATGTGTAAATACAACAACTGTACAAAACAGTTCATATGTACATCAAAGAGTACTACACAGTATGCACTGACAATAAATAAAGCATATGCGTAATAGACAACAGAAACAAACTAGTATATCTGTGTTTTTTTTTTTTTTAAACAAATACACCAAAACTGTACTCAGACGATACAGACGGACACTGAGGACAGTGGTTCTTCTAAGATGAGATTTCCTGTTCTTGTGTATTAATTTCAGTAAAAGAAAGCTAATCGTACTTGATTTTCTAAATCAGATTGAATACATTTAACGTGAGAGCTTTTTGACTGTAATATTTTAGTTTTTACAACCTAATCTCAAAAAGTACTTATAACAGAAGTCAACAGGCAGTTTCTAAACTCTATGAATAACACAACTGTGTACATGTTCATGAATTCTTCAAAAATGTTTGTAAATTAAGCTGCAATATAATATAGTGACATTTCAACCATTTATCACAAAATTCAGCAACTGGTTTCTATTCTAAGCAACTTTGGAGTCAAAGGGTTTTCAATTCTTTTTTCCAAGTACAAGGACATGTATCAACTTACTGTCTGTAATTGACAGTACTGTAAAGATTCAGCAGATGGATATTAGATTGAAAATGCTGGAACATTCTTGTATATTTAAAGCAGCTCCAGTTATGGAAGGTTTCTGTAATTCTTACTTAACAGTGGTTATGTGATATTGTATTTTAGTGTAATGTGATACTTCCACTAGCTTTCCTTTTACCTGTATTGACTGTTACACACCAGCCTTCCTCCCACTCACAGTACTTGAGTTTTGTAGAAGCCGCAGTGTCAAACCTAACCTGGATGCATGGAAATTTGCAAAGCAAGTGTGATGCTGGTCATTTTAACATATACTAGGGCTGTACAATATTGGTCTTTGGAATACTGACACCATAAAAGGCTCCAATATGCAAATGAGCCCCTCTGACCAATCATAGTGTTTTTTACCTCAACACACCAATCATATATGAGGGTTTTGATGAATTACGGTATTCACATAATCCAACAAAGATTGTGGATTGTTGAAAGTGAATCATATTTATCAAAATAAGACAGTTCAGTCTTTAAACATATCATACTATTGATTCACCAATGCATTTTAATATATTGCAAGGCATATCGCACTTAAAGAGGAGTCATAATTCTTTTGTAATATTTGAATAGTAATTAGATTTTTTTTATTTCTGATATACAAATCAGCTCCTCTCCAAAGCAAACCATTGTCATATTTAAGAACCATGAGATGCCTAAACTCTTTACTAAAGGGCAGTGTAGAATCTGTGTCTGATGTTCTGGTCAGAGTTTCTTGTCCGTTTAGTTCAAAGAAGTAAGCATAGAATTTCTACTGCAGCTGGCAAAAGACTAACGCACCCTGGATGAGAAGTGCCAGTGTCTATGTTTGCCAATAATAAGGAAGGGTATCCACTTACTTTTGGCCATGTAATGTACAAGGTTATACTGCAACAGCGACATATTTAAATACTGCCTTACAAATTCAAATACCAAATTTGAATGAAATGCCCATTCCTAATCACAATATGTGGCAATATAATCACAGTACTGAGACTTTGTCCATATCGTGCAGCCCTACTGGTAAGCATGACTAAAGGCCTGTATATGCCAGCATAGTCTTTACTTCTGTTAAGTATTTGGGAGGGTTGTGATGAGCTCGAAATGATATAAATAATCATTCTCTCCCATATGGATGAGTGGCATCTGTGTGAGAGAGAAGAAACCAGTGTTAATCTAATGCCATATTTCAACTTGCATGCAGAGACCCAGGCAGTGCACGCTTTCATAAATTGGGTAATTCAACGCCTACAGATAATGTTAAGTACTTCATTTCCCATCCAGTGCAAAAAAAGAGGTCATTAATAAGCGTCTAGTTTGGAACGGAATGTGGTGCAGGCCAAAAGAAATGTGTGTGTGTGTGTGTGTGTGTGTGTGTGTGTGTGTGTGTGTGTGTGTCTGTCTGCACGCATGGGTTGGTAAGCAAGTTGAAACTGAGTAACCTAATTCTGTCTCTGCAGGCTCCAGGCAAGGCGACATAACACTGACCCCACAGAACATCCTTAGATCACACACACGGCTATGAAAAGTTCGAGAAATATGGTGAAATTAGAAACATGAAAAATGCTGGAAAAAGCGCAAGTAAAAGGTACCAGATTTCAGTCCATCACCAAGCTCACAATGTGGCAGGAATACAGACTACAGATTTAAAGCTATATGTGTGTAACGTGATTGTTAACCCTTTCACAAGTAAACTCTGTCTCCAATGGAGTTCTCTCCAGAGTGAATTCTTTTAGCTCAAATGTAGCTGCAGTTCTAGAATGTGATTGTTCTGCAGAATCGTCTCCACGTCATCTACAGAACGGTAGGCGGAAACATCAGGCTACATGCAACATGATCAGATTGTGGATCCTGTGGTAATTCTTTTATAAGCTGTTTTTTTGCTGTTGTTATTTTAATTAATTGGTGACACTTAATGACTTCCTATGTTTCTATTCATTGGAACTAACAAAGTGGGTAATACTATTTTAAGATCTGCTTCTTAACAGTTTATTAGTAAAAGCAGGCAATTTCATAGCTTCAGTGAAGTTATGAGGTTGCTATAAGGTTTAATTTATTTTATATTGCATGTAGAGGTGGGCAATATGACAATTTTATGGTTATCGTGATAAACTACGTCACAGCCTGCTTTTCTTAGTGTATCATGGGTATCGTCAGTACGTAAAAAGAACAGTGAATAACCGCTTTTTTTAAGAAGTACGCATAATTATGCCTGTTTAATTACATTTAGTACAGTGTGGTTATTATTATTATAGTATTGTGGCACTACAGGTTCTATTTTGTCTATTCCAACTTGTGATATAATAATTCTGCCATATTTTCCACAGCTAACCGTATGCTACTTTGCTGTTTTTGTGTTAACAGCCTGTGCTGACAGCTCTCCGCTAGTCTTTGGGCTACTTCTTAATACTAAAAACTAATGGCTTTGCTGATAAATAATACAAAAGCACCCAATTGTACAAGCTGTCTATGTTTTCTACCGTTATATGTTATGGCTCCATGCGGATTTTCTTTGGACACAGACTTGCTTTTACAATGGATTTTTATCTCAGATTAAGGGAGGCCTGAGGGAAAATTTGGTATGATGCTGCTGAGCATAAAAGGACAAGTTTAACACGTTTAACAAAGATGTGTGTTGAAAATGTCACCCTGTTTTGGCTGCATTTTTGGGATACTCTGTATGTTGTGCAAAGACAAATCAGCAGACCGATCTGATGAAGGAATAGAACTAAAGCTATTTTGTCAGTATTTGAAGCTGAACATTGTAACCGCTGTGTTTGAATCACACCGGTGGGATCGTACTCTCTAGGGACCAGCCACTGCAAATCTCACCATTGAGACCATACTTGTAAAAGGGTTAAAGATTAGCAATGGTTTGGTAGCAGTGGTGAAAAATGGAACTAGTTAATAATAAAACCAGGTTAGAGTTTGTTTAATGTTTGCTTGTGACTGTAGATCAGACTAAGAGCTCCAGTTTCCTCTAGATCAGGATACGAAAGACACGTGGTCTGAAAACCCACACCCCCGACGATAAACATGGATCTAGCTCTGATGTGTGAGAAGTTCAGCCTCTACTGATTATTTGAGTCACTGCAATTTCCTGACCATAACTAGAGTTCTGTTTGTGTTTGTTCTTCAACAGTTTCACTTCAGACCAAGTCTAAACAGATGTCAGTTCAAAGATACACAATGTTCTCCTCTGCCTCCGCATCCCGGTTCTCCGTTTCCATGGAAACATAAGCCGGAGGCACGGAGAGGGCGTCACCTTGGTAAAGTCCAACCCCTGCTACCCCTGCTGTCCAAGCCACTCCAGCATGGCTTGGAGGACCCGTGTCTGCGAAAAAGATAACCAGTTTTAGTTGTCAGTACTCACAATTTCACTATCAATAAAGTCTAATCAATACATCAGCTGTCTGAGAAAACTGGCCGATGGGTTCCAGAAATTTAACAGTACTGGCAAAAAAGCAACTGATAAAAATATTAACATGGATTTTTTTTGTTTCAGAGCTAGCACAGACCCCGAATTTTGAAAAAAATCCAAAATATTTGAGAAGTCTCATTTTTTCAGCTCTCTACATCAGCTGACAAGTTGGGGATCAGTAACTGCTTGCCTAGGCTGAGCTAATAAACTTGCACATGCAACACAATCATGGTAAAAATGTAAATAGCATCCAAACATAACCCTTTTCATAAAGATAACAATTTATTTAAAACATAATAATAAATAAATAATCAAAAATTATTGGAAGAAAAATAAAAGCTGACAGACTAACAGAATATATAAGGGCTACAAGTTTATATTATTTAAAGCATTAAATAATGCTAAAGTAAGACTGAGTTACAGTTGTTTTAAAATGAAGAACTTTTTTGTCAATTCACACATTTTTATTTCATTAAAACCAGTATAGGTAAGCAATTTTCATATTGGCTCAAATTTGCAAAGCCCCAATTTTCATCTTCAGTAAGGCACAGCCTTCGATTCAGAATGTCAACACTTAAGATTAAAGGAAACATTTCATAACAGATAGAACTGGTCTACAGTTATGTACTATGTGTTTTACTGACAGATGGTGTTTCAAACCGATTTTATTTATACAAATATTGGGGGGCTAAGTGAGATTTATGGATTTCAAATACATTTGATCTAATGGACTTATTTATTGTTGTAAGAAAAAAAAAACCAGTAACAGTTAACACTTTATTGCCTCTATGAAAGCTCAGTGCCTTTTGTCAGGAAAAATGTGTCAGTGGCTTTGACCCCTGAGCAGTAACCTAAGAACTACAGATAAATGACCAAAGTATTTCGTTAATGAGCTGCTAAAGCCTTTGCATGTGTTTCAACTGCATCCTTCAGTGATGTTGCAGAATGTTCGTTATGTTCAAGGCATGGGAAGGGGCCCTTTTACTTTGGTCTCTGAGACTCCATCCTTAGTTGCTTAAGAGGAGCAGATTTTATCTTTTAAATCAGTATAAGCAGGATCTAAGTGTGAGTCATTGCGCCTATTCAGTGTGCACATTCAAGTTTACACACTTATTCCCACAATTCCTTACAGCAATATTAAGTATAGTGACAAACTACACAATTTTACTCCAAATGCAGGCGATCAACCAAGACATCTTTGGTATTCTAAGTTTTCTTCTTTTGTATGCTAATGTTGTAACAGAAGCTTATTAATTAGCATTATGCAAACTGCCTCAAATCATTACTCTTGCCTCAAATCGCATCGTGTTGTTGAAGCGACACTTTGGCCAAAATGACAAATTTAACCATAGCTTCATCTGTTGTACACATAATAGTGTCCTACAGCAGTGCTGTCTCTAGAGTGAGATTTCTGGTTTAAAGTTTAAGAAAACCTCCTTCAGATGACGTATCTCAAAGGTGGGAGAAACGTCTGGAAAACTAAAGCTGCTTTGGAATGAACCTGTTTAAAACATTTTAGATTTGTTAGTTGGTAAACGTGGAAGAAAGCCAGATACCTAATGTTTCTGATAGAAAGTGGAATAGCTTATTGCACCTGTATAAATGTAGCAACTTCAAAATATCATCACAATGGATTACTCAGATGACACACGACTCATCAGATGAGGAGAACAAGTCAGCTACCTATTTAGATACCTTACCTCAGGATAGAATGACTGAGGTAAAAGTGACAGTAATTTTAGCTTGGTTGTATTTATTTGCCTATAGCTCAGTGGTTAGCAGTCATGACAGGTTGACTCCACAGGCATTCTCATTTGTCAATGTTTCCATGAAGTGTTTGTATATTGCATGTTGGGTATTGTCGTGGTTGTGAACATTGAACACTGCTTAAGGAAAACATGGGAAAAAAAAAATCTGTCAATTCAACAAGGCTGAAGGCTACAATGCAGCACTACAGAATACTACTAGTTTTAGGCAGGAATAAGTAATCTCACAGACTTCTGTTGAAGCCTGAATTTTGTCCATTTAAGTCTATATAGCTATAGTCTATAGCTTTAAAGTCTATTTAAGATTATTTAACAAGCAGTTTGAGTGTGTAGCGAGTTGTTGGCACAGGCATGCAGTTTGCACAATGCTAATGTATGTGCTATCTATGTGCTTCCACTACTTGTTAGCTACAATAGCCCCAGAGCGCCAGTGCAGAACCAAAGAAGCAAACTTCAGACACCAAATATGTCTTGTCTGACTTTTTACAGGGGAGGGAAAAAGTAAATAAAAGTCCAAAACTATCACTTTAAATCAAGGATCCTCAAGAACTATGAAACACAACTGGAATAAAAGTTCATTATACAGTATTTTTTGAATAAACCTAAAAATAAATGTAGATTGTAATGAGTTGTGGCAGTACATTATGGCTAGATATCATGGTACATATGGAACAGAAGTGGAGCGGCACGTTCAGTGGCTCTGGTCTTGTTAAAACATAGACTTGAGTGTACTAAGCCATGACAGCCTGTCAATAAGTAGTGACGAGTAATCAGGCGATCAATATTTGGAGGCATTGCTGAGAGTGACTTAACACTGACAGGTAATGTTTACGGAAAGCAAGACTTACTGTATAGCCTGCAATAATCACTTTACACAGCTTGTGACTGTGGAAAGAATGGTTCATTTTGACTTTTAATTTGTTCTTATTAAAGGGACACTCCTACCAAAAATTTAAAAAGCGATCATCGCTACATCTACTGTAAACATACTCACTTTCTACAGTGGTGGGACAATAGTCTCCAAAATGTGATTATGCAGTTTAAAGACTAGGAAAAAACCTCCTTCTGATGTATTTTGAAAGTGGGAAGAACTGAAAAACTACAAGGGTTGTGGGGCGGACATTTAAGAGTGGGCTGTTGCAGAAGGAATCCAGAAAGCCAACGTTTCTGCTAAGAAGTCAAATATCATGTCTGTGTGTATTAATCTCTCCATCAGCAGCCAACACATTTGTGTAATGCCTGCTGGGTATTTTAGTGAGAGAAAACTGATGATCTACATCATGAAAACAACATAAAATGGTGAATTCTATCAAACGGAAAATTTGTTGATCTTTGTCATTAACTTAATATTGTGAGAAAGCAAAGTTATTCGCCGGAACATATTTCAGACTCCAGTGACAATTCATCATTACTCTAATTGAACAAACGTCTCTGACATCTTAAAAGCTGTTAATGGTTTTAAATTCTGGTCTGAATGAACTTTAGTGCATCTTTAGAAACTACTGCACAATGATTGACAGCAAGCTTGTGGTAGCATTATCCCTACTTTCTTCAGAAACTTCATGCATTATTTTAACCAGTGAGTGTGCAGGTTAAGAATTTAAAGGAATGGTTTGGTGAAAAATCAGATTTACACAACTTTCTACTTACCACATATATAGCTAATGAGCCAAAACGTTCGGCATCAAAATTCTGCTTCTTTAGTTTAGTGCTGGAGCTATGAGGCTAACATTGCTAACAAACACTAGAAGTCAGTAGTCACCCAATTTCTTTCTTTTGTAAATACATCCCCGAAATTTCTGACAACAACTGTTGTCTAAAGAGGTGCCCACAGCGTTCAGCTACAGGGTGAAGTTACATTAGCCTTGTACCTCCAAAACTGGGACACCTCAATTACTTTTCACTTATTTAGATTATGATCTAAACCTGTATTCCCAACACAGGAGGGGGATTTGCCAATCATGGAGCTTGATGCAGAAAGAGGAGGCTGTTTTAAGTATTTTCTGCTCTATTCTCCCACAGCAGCAGTTAGAAGATTCGTCATGCAGCTCCGTCCAAACAGATCAAGACGTGTCTTTTAAATATATTGGATAATCAGCTGAGTGTGTGTGCGTGATGCGTTGCATATGTGACCAAACATGTTTGGAAACATTGAAGAAACTGTTTAAATCTACATCAGCTTCTTACAGGGGAAATTACAGTCAGAGTGTTCAGGCGTTAATTTTTGCAGGACTGCGTCGTATAAATCGCTCCCACCATTTTTAAATGAAAGAAACATGTGGAAACATCTCATCACACAAGTGTTAAAACATGCGGGTAATCCTCATTTATGAATGAGCAAACTTGTTACTGCCATGCTATTTGCGCTCATTGTGATAAATCTGGCACTGCGTTTTATGAATCTGGCTCTACATGTCTTGGCAGATCGATCTGGGATAAGTTGAAAACTGTGTAATTTAGCTCCCCCCCCCCACTTTTTCTGAACATTTTCTTTAAAGACTCTTCAAAAGAACTGGCGTCTGCATCACTAGAGAACCTGTATAAACTACAGTATGAGTGTGTATTTCACCACTGAGTACATTTCACCATGGCCTTTGCCAAATATGCTTGTAAAGCTAAGAATGCGGATTTGTGTGTGTAAATTACAACCTGGTGCTAAATAGACATCCCTGACATGTGGCAAGGAAATATTAGATGAATATGTTTGTGCACCTATCTCTCTCTGTCGCCGTTTTTCCCTTTGTGTGTGTGTGTGTGAGAGAGAGAGAGGGAGAGAGAGAGAGAGAGAGAGAGAGAGAGAGAGAGAGAGAGAGAGAGAGAGATGACAGGTTGCCCTGTAATGAGTTTGGTAAAGATTTTTTAGATCAATGTTCCAATCAGTCTTCCATCGCCCACTCGCCTTGATTCACATGCCACCGTCCGCCATGGCCGATCGATAGATGGAGGGCCGATTGATTTCCGTGACGGATGTGTGTCTCTGTAAGTGAATATGTGTGTGCGTGTGTGTGTGAAGAGGGATGGGAGGGTGTTTTTTTGTTAGCAGACGGATTAATAGCAAAAAGAGGACACTTGAGACTTGGCCTCTGTTAAAGGGGGGCAGAGAGAAGTTTTGGCAAAGGTGAGCCTACACTGTTTACAAATGCCTCAGATGATTTCAAAACATTTGCTTTCTTTCTCGCTCTCCCTTTGTCCCTCTCTCACCCACAGACAGTAGGTATTTACACTGGTCTGCACAAAACCTACAGTCATATGAAAAAGTTTGAATGTCCCTGGACAAATTATATGTTTTGTTGATTTTCTAAGGGAAAATAAGTCAACACATCCTGTACAGAACAAAATAGAAATTGTGCATTAAATATGCGGAATAAATGCCATATTTAATTTGTCCCCTGTAAAGGATGTGTTAAGGTTTTTGACTGGGGTGTTCAGACTTTTGCACGACTATGTTTGTCAAATAGCGGCCAGTGGAAGAGGTATTATTTATTACATTTATATAATATTTTCCATGTAATGAGATATCAACAGTCAAATAAGATGTCATGATCAATAATCCAGTTTTTACCATTATTTGTGTTCTCTGTACCTTGGCTTCCCACCCATTCCTCTTGTGTTGTGGAAGGGTTTGGCATGCCAATGGTGGGATGGCTATGATTGGACCAGGCCAGCAGAGAGTTCAGACTATTCTGAGCACTGGGGGAGTCTGTATATCCCAGCAGTCCAGGACGCAGGTCGGGGTTGTGATGGTACTGATGCTGGTGATCATGAAGGTGTCTGTTATTCATGGAGGGAGTCAGGAACGCTGCCTCGTTCACAAATATGGAAGTGTCCTCATCCTGGCTGCCATGATGGATGCCCTGTAAGAAAGAGAAAGCATGTAAATGCAACTTTATCAAAACAATGAACGCCGGTTTACAAAGCCTTTGCCCCAAAATTACAAAGCACATCTCAGGTCAAACCACAAGAAAACCTCATATTTCAATACAAACACAGGACAAAAAGATCAGTTAACCCTTTAATGCTGAACTAAAAAGTGACAATTTCTGTGTATTAATCTGCTCCTCTTCTTTAATTCCTCATTGATATTTTACTGTAAAGACAAGGATGTAGTAAAGCTCAGAATCTGTATTTAGTATCCCAAAGTACCACGTTTAAACAAACATATGAATAGGAATATACATTGCTATTGTCACAACCCAGAGCTGTCCCTACAGCTCAAGGCCTGAACATATAGTTTGATCTCTAATTCTTACTGTACATTTGGAAAAAAGAAAAAAAAGGTCCCTGCTTTATTTGAGCATCAAGTGGCAAACATTTCCAGAAACCAAGTGCACAGACAGCTTCAGAACAACCCTTATTGTACAATCCTTGGGGTGATAAGACGATCATCCCACCCTCCCAGCAATTTTTCTACCTTTCTTGGTCACCCTTAAATCAAAATGTATATAATATCCTTTTTTTAAAAAAATAAATAAATAAATAAAACAGTCTCATCCTACCCAGTTGTCCTGTCCCTACAAGGACATCTTATATAACTTTCCACGTGAGTTTAAAAGTTCACTATAGCTATAGTTTTCCATGTACACAGCCTAAAGCCTATTCTTTGTCCTATATTACCTCTTTAAGAGAAATCAATATTCTCTTTTTAGTCAGCACATAATCTATTGATTACCGATTAAAAGAGTATTTATTCAAATTTGCCATAACTTTCACTATCAAATTCACTATTTTGATAAAATTATTTTAAGCTCTTAGTGGTCTGAGGTCTGAATTAGTCCTTAAACCCGCAGAAATCAAAGGTATTAATGTGGCTGCCCTTTGCTGCAGTAACAGCCTCTAGTCTTTTGAAAAGGCTTTACACTAGATATTGGAACACTGCTGAGGATTTGCATTCAGTCACAAGACCATTAGCTGAGGTCAGGTCATGGATCACAAACTGCACTCCAACTCATCCCAAAGGTATTCAGTGGAGCTCTATCACTCCAGAGAGTGCAGTTCCACTGCTGCAAAGCTCAATGCTAGAAGGCTTTATAACTCACTCACCAATGCTTGGCATTCGGCATGGTACTCTTAGGCTCCTTAGGCTTAGGCTGAGTGGTGTGGCTGCTCCAGAGCATCCCGTTCTATTGGCAATGCTTTTCTAAGGAGATTATACAAGCTTTGTGCACAACTGTCAGCAATGCTGTACCTTAAAGTAGCTGAATTCACTAATTAGAAGGGGTGTGTGGATACTTTTGGACATATAGTGTAACTAGCTATGTAACTGCTAACTATCTCGCTGGTTTGTGCTGTTGTGGGCGAATGGCTAGACTTCTCTCTCCCCAACTAGTAAGTAACTGATGCACATCTCCACCAGGTGAAAACACGCAGAAGTAGTTCAAAGTCTTTACTGTTAACATTAGATCGGGGAAAAGAACATAAAAGAGCTCAAATGCATTATTTTTGAATTGAGATCTGTTCTGAATGTGTGCACACGGTCACTCAGATCCCAAGGCAATGAAGGCAGCATCATGCTTCTTTTACATAGTGACAGAAAACATGCTAGCACATAGAAAGCTCCAGTTTCACATGCATGCGGGCCATCTACTGCAGAGGCAGATTTCAATGAGTTAAAGGAGATGAAGCCAAAGTCTCTGAATGTTTCGCTGACCAGACATTAAATAAGATAACATTCCCTAACACGCTCAAGCACACGAAACAGCAGAACAAACCAAATTCATGCTGAAATCTCAGGCCCACAATATAACAGCTATCTGATCTGATTACAGTGGTTTTGTTCTCATTCCGTCTCTCCATCTGTCCTCCTTCCTCTCATCTTACTTGCATGTCCTAAACTTGGCAAACTGCTCCTTCAGTGTCTTGACTGTTTGCTAAAGGTCAAACTGACTCAAAGAAGTGAGCTCTTTCACATGAGCTGCAACAAATGCTGCACTCTATCTCACAAAAACACTGCTAATGACTAATGACCGTTTGAAACCCAGCAAAGGAAAACAGAGAAAAATAGGGGTAGACCTACAGTGTTGGGAACAACAAAATGCACCTGACTGTAAAGTGTTTTATATGTAGCATTTTTTTTTAAAGTGACCAAGCAAAACCATTTCATTTTGATTACAGAGGTTAAGGTTAAGGAAATTCTTATTACATACAGGCAGAGGTGGGTAGTAACTACATACATTTACTCAGTTACTTGAATTCAAGTAACATTTTAATGTATTTGGACTTCAAGTACTTTCAAATGATAACGCTTTTCATTTCTACCCTGCAACATTTACTTTTACTCAGTTACATTTCTGTCATTAACATTTAGTCATTAAATGCTTTTTGGGTTTAACTTCATTCTGATTTTCTGGTGTAAGTATTTGTACAGGCCTTTTTAATGGTCAAACCACTGACTGGAAGTGTATTTTATTTTTGACCAAAGATATTCAAAAAGAGAAGAACAACTCTGTAAGTTACTCTGCACTTAAGTAGCTTTTACCAGCATGCGACATTTGTAATTCTACTTAAGTAGTTCTTTGGAAATATACCTCTACTTTTATTTGAGAAATCACATTATCTCACCAAAATCACACAACTTTTACTTAATTATAGGCTTATACACTGCATGTAGATATTTACATATGTGTAATATGTAACGCATTATATATGATCGCATGTGTGTATACACACACACACGCACACACACACACACACACACACACACACACACACACACTATGTGTGTATATATATATATATATATATATATATATATATATATATATATATATATAGGCGAATGTAATGTAACTGCTGCACCATTTAAGGTGGAACGGGAAAATTCGAAAGAGAAGCGACTTCATTTTCGCAACTTTTTAGAGAAAGACAGTCTCTCATTGCAGATTTAACCAACCGCGCTGCTTATAAATGCGAATAGTCCTCCAAATGTTTGTCTTAATCTCTGTTTTTTCGAGGCCAGACCTCGGTGCTATGTGACCTGCTGTCTGCTCTCGGTTGCTGAGAACCAGGGCTTTTGCGCTATGCTGCACACTTTGGAGCCGAGATTCAGCGTTCAGTTTCGAAAACATGCATTTACATTATGGATCATTACAAATACTTTGCTTTAAAACTACCAAGTCCTCAGACAGTAGGAAGATAGAAATCCTTTATAGAGAAAAAAGATGTATCGAGATGCATCAATAATCGTTTTATAATCGCATCGCAGCCCTCTGAATCGTAATCGAATTGAATCGTGAGGTGCCTAAAGATTTCCACCCCTAATATATATATATATATATATATATATATATATATATATATATATATAATATATATATATACACACACACACACACAGTGGTGTGAAAAAGTGTTTGCCCCCTTCCTGATTTCTTATTCTTTTGCATGTTTGTCACACTTAAATGTTTCAGATCACAAACAAATTTAAATATTAGACAAAGATAACACAAGTAAACACAAAATGCAGTTTATAAATGAAGGTCTTTTTTATTAAGGGAAAAAGAAATCCAAACCTACGGGGCCCTGTGTGAAAAAGTGATTACCCCCCATAAATTAACTGTGGTTTATCACATCTTTGGAAAGCTGAGTTCAATTTCCTTAGCCACACCCAGGTCTGATTACTGCCACACCTGTTCTCAATCAAGAAATCACTTAAATAGGACCTGCCTGACAAAGTGAAGTAGACCAAAAGATCCTCAAAAGCTAGACATTGTGCTGCGATCCAAAGAAATTCAGGAACAAATGAGAAACAAAGTAATTGAGATCTATCAGTCTGGAAAAGGTTATAAAGCCATTTCTAAAGCTTTGGCTCTCCAGCGAACCACAGTGAGAGCCATTATCCACAAATGGTGAAAACATGGAACAGTGGTGAACCTTCCCAGGGGTGGCCGGCCGACCAAAATTACCCCAAGAGCGCAGCGACGACTCATCCAAGAGGTCACAAAAGACCCCACAACAACATCCAAAGAACTTCAGGCCTCACTTGCCTCAGTTAACATCAGTGTTCATGACTCCACCATAAGAAAGAGACTGGGCAAAAATGGCCTGCATGGCAGAGTTCCAAGATGAAAACCACTGCTGAGCAAAAAGAACATAAAGGCTCGTCTCAGTTTTGCCAGAAAACATTTTGATGATCCCCAAGACTTTTGGCAGAATACTCTGTGGATGGATGAGACAAAAGTTAAACTTTTTGGAAGGTGCATGTCCCATTACATCTGGTGTAGAAGTAACACAGCATTTCAGTAAAGGAACATCATACCAACAGTAAAATATGGTGGTGGTAGTGTGATGGTCTGGGGCTGTTTTGCTGCTTCAGGACTTGGAAGTCTTGCTATGGTAAATGGAACCATGAATTCTGCTGTCTACCAAAAAATCCTGGAAGGAGAATGTCCGGCCATCTGTTCATGACCTCAAGCTGAAGCGCACTTGGGTTCTGCAGCAGGACAACAATCCAAAACACACCAGCAAGTCCACCTCTGAAAGGCTTAAGAAAAACAAAATTAAGACTTTGGAGTGGCCTAGTCAAAGTCCTGACCTGAATCCGATTGAGATGCTGTGGCATGACCTTAAAAAGGCGGTTCATGCTCGGAAACCCTCCAATGTGGCTGAATTACAACAATTCTGCAAAGATGAGTGGGCCAGAATTCCTTCACAGCGCTGTAAAAGACTCATTGCCAGTTATCACAAACGCTTGATTGCAGTTGTTGCTGCTAAGGGTGGCCCAATGAATTATTAGGTTTAGGGGGCAATCACTTTTTCACACAGGGCCCTGTAGGTTTGGATTTCTTTTTTCCTTAATAATAAAGACCTTCATTTATAAACTGTATTTTGTGTTTACTTGTGTTATCTTTGTCTAATA